TACAAGCTTACTGGTATAGTCGAAATCATAGATGGAACACGAAATAAAAAAAGATAAAAAACCATTACATCGCCTGCATGGCCAATTCCTAACATTCGTTGCGATGTTCATGAACAGAGGATGATAGGAACTGGAACTAACATTCATTGTAATAGATTTTTGGTTTGCGTGTAGGAAATTTTATTATTTCTCAAAATACTTGGAAGGCTCAGAGAATTGAATAATTTTCTTACTAAGGATATTATAAAGAAAATAATGAATTTTAAAATACAAGCATTTAATTTTTCTCGTTATTTTACTTGCATTCTTGCATTTATTTTATTTTACTTGCATTCCTTGAAATGTGCCATATACATAGTACACCCCATACAGTCAATAGAAGAACAGACGTAGACAATTTGAACACAACTTACGCAGCAATCTTTCACTCACTAAAAGCAAAATCAATCAATGCCCAACAGCAATACCAATTATGCCCACCTGAATCCAACTAAAAAAAGCTCAACTATAATACCCGTTCCCACCATTGCACCATAGCCTCCATAACCCTCGGAGAGTGCCCTACCGCAAATTTTATACCCGACACAAATTATAAATAAAAAGAATCAACAAAACTTTGAATATTCAACTAAAAACCGCTATGTATAAAAACTTACCATCAAAAAAACAGACGTTAGACATCAAGCAGTATTTAGACAAAGAACGAATCCAACAATTGTGAGTGTAAAATATTTATTAAATGTGAAACAATTAATTCTAAAAATAAAATTCCCTTCAGTTTCCCCTGAAAAAGGCCCAAATCAGAGCCGAAACGTAGGTAAAAATTATAAAATTAATTTGTTCTGATTGAGTGATTGCCAGACTGCCGGGCCGAAACTGATTATTGTTTTCAATTGTTTTAATTAAAATTCCTACAATTTTCCTGACGTTCATTAGACTCAAAACTCATTTGAAGTTTCCTGGACTTTTTTACCGGAAAATCTAACATGTTTTTGTTTCTTTTTTAAAAGTCAATGGTTCATAGCGGTGCCGGAGGTGTAGTTGTAAGCGTGATTGCCTCTCACCCCAAAGGGCATGGGTTCGATCCCATTAGACACCGTCAGGATTTCCTGAGGCATAGAATCTTTGATCCCGAAGTAAAGCCGTTAGTCGCCGGTCCATGAGTTGATGGGTCGATATGAAGGGTCCAGGTGTGGGAGCTGCCTTCCTGGCGTCGGTACTCAGTACGAAAAACAAGATCGACGAAAAACAAATCGAAGAAAAAGTAAACAACCATATGTTCTCAAAATTGTCCTAAATATTTTTTAACTTCCCAGTTTTCCGGATGTTTATGCAACGATCCTGAAGTTCTTAGAATAGTAACGAAGCTCTCTGACCAATCCTGCACCTACCTGAAGTTTTCTGGAATATTTTGAAGATACTGTTAAGTTCCTGAAATTTTTCTTAAGTTCTGTGATCTTCATCTAAGATCACGAAATTTTCCTTAGGTTCATGGAACTGCCCTGAAGTTCTTGGAACTCACTCTTAAAGAGCTTAACGAAAGAACTTCACAACACTCTGAATGTTTCGGATATTCCCTAAAGTTCTTAAGTTTTCGAAATTGCTATAAAAAGCTATGAGCTTTGTACTTAGCTGAAGTTTTCTGGAGTATTTTGAAGACACTGTTAAGTTCCTGAAAATTTCCATAAGTTCTCTGATCTTTATCTAAGATCACGAAATTTTCATGAGGTTCATGGAACTGCTCTGAAATTCTTGGAACTTACTCTTGAAGAGCTTAACGAAAGAACTTCACAACACTCTGAATATTTCGGATTTTCCCTAAAGTTCTTGGAACATCCCTTAAGTTATCGAAATTGCTATAAAAAGTTATGAAAAGGAGATTCTCAATCTTGGCTGTGGTACATTTATCTTGCTATAATGAAAAGGTGTAGAAAACTGCCAAAAGGGCCAACAAAACGGAAATACAAACAAGGAACACTCAGATATTATGGTAAAGGTTCGCCTCCTTTAGGAAGGTGATGAAGGCGGCTGCTGCCGGGGACTCGTCGCCCAACAGGTTCCGAATGCTGATTAACTCCAAGCCAAAGGCAGCCCGAAGGTCTTCCAACTCGGCGCAGTTCACGAGGAGGTGGCTGGCACTCCGCAGATTTCGCAGGTCCTCCGGAACAGTGTTCCTCCGAAGTTGTGGGAGACTCTGCTGTGTCCGGTGCGCAGCCTTGACACCACTCGCTGTTGTCAATTATTTTCAATCCGGTGGTATTTTTTATCAAGCGATTGTTTTTATCACCATAGGAAATATTTCTTCACCTCTAGAGTGTCTAGCAGAAATTGGCATTCAACAAATCCTTAATGCCTATGGAAATATAGGAACCCGTCTTTACCGGAGCACGTCTGATCAGACTGAAGTAAAATTTTATTCCCCCCTCCCCTCTTCTTAAAACCTTCAGTAGTTTAGTGGTAACCGTTTCAGCTTACTGAGCAGAAGGACAACCCCATGCCCGTCTCCTTCCTTGCAATTTTTGACCATGCATCACAATAGTTCTATGCATCTCTCTCAAGTCCTATGTGTCCAACTAACAATCCTTCCTAACCCAGAACAGCAGGAAAGTTCTCGATAAATAATGCTACTTCCATCAAGGAGGTCGAGATCAATCCCACATCTTGGTAAATAGAGCAGAGAACTACTTTGGCCTAAGCGCCCATTTTGGGCCTATCAAGCAGAAAACATCAAATAAATCAATGATTTCGGTGTTAACAGGTAAATTATGCGTTTGGTACCATACTTTAGTTCAAATGCTACCGTACGAAGTCAATAAGAACGCGTGATATAAATGTTTGCACCCAATATTCACAAATACAAATAAAGCACTCCGATCAATCTGTATCTTCATCCGATAGGCCGAAGTGAATTCATTGGCGTTTCAATGGCATTTCAATGCGTTAGGCCGAGTTTAGAAACCGTAGGCCGAGTTTGGCGTTAAGAAGCAGTAAGAAAGACTAAAAGCGGGTTGTGCTTAATAGGCCGGAAATGGGGTAGTTAACCCTACGAAAACGGACGGAGGTGGCAGTACTCTTAAACAATGGTCTACCACTTGTACTACCTACGGTTTTGTGCAACTTGCTCAAATTATTATTTTTTTTTATTAAGGAGACTTTCAGTCCTAGGCTGCTTCGTCTCGGAAATTATTATTATTATTATTATGGAAAAGTATAAAAGTTTGTTCACATTTTGTAAGGAGTCTGTCTGTTTTATGTTTGCCACAAGGCTCTGTGTGAAGAAGGGTGGGCTTTAAGGATTGCTGCACCAGTGGATACAACAGTATCTATATTTAATCCAATTCCCTTCGCATACCTTGCCGGTAGCTCAATGAACACTAAGTTTTGAACATACACACAAAGTTCCAGTTGGGACGTAGCAGCAACGAAGAAGAAGAAGAATCATGACGCAAATCGCGTTGATACACTCCTCTATCCGCATCATCATTCATAATACCCCTGGAGGAAATAAATCACAGCCAAATTATATCCACGATTGCGATCCAATTGTTTATAATTTCGATGCCCATACTGCTTTGGCTTAAAATATATTGAATTTAAATCCCATTTCGTAGTGAAATGAAAATCCTCTATCCTGTGTTCATATCAATAGGTAGTTACTGACCTACCCGAAGCTAGCAGATCATTGGTAGCAAATTCCGAAATACATACTCACAACAGTGGTAGCATCCGTCTGTGAACGTTGGCATACTATATTTGCAAAATTTGAATAATTTCATTCGATTAAATTTTCGCTCGCACAGGACACTTTGAATCGGCAATCCACTCTCCCAGGAGATCGGAATGCATGCATAATATGCAAATCAGGCTCGATATTAAAACTATAATATGCGTATGCATTATTCATTGCCAATTTCACCGATTTTCAGCAATAGATATAGATCCGATCCGGCAAATGCAAGTCCGAAAGCAAAACACACAGTCTCCGGAAAGTGTAATTGTACCGTAACACTCTTGATATGATCCTGGGAGGAAAGCACGCTGTTCCTTGACACATGTTGGTTGGGCATGCACACCGAATGCGTCAGCCGGAGGACACAAGGTTCATGCAGCTGTGGCTTTTGAATTTTCGGTCGAAAGAACCAGCTAAGCTATGGGATAGTTATAGGAACATTTTCACTTTCGATTTAGTATTTATGTTTTATGGATACGTACAGCTGGTGTTTTGAAAGGAGGACTATAATCCTAAAATGCTATTCGAAATCGTATCGATGTATGGTGAATTTGAGTACCAATTCGTTGATCATGGGCGTATTGAAGGATGGGACATTTAAAATTTTCGTTATAGATATCAGTCTTGCCGTAAAAACCGAAATTTGCATTCCAAATACACTTTACGGCAAGATATATTATTCTGCTCGGTCCCATCCAATTGTACTCGGTGCGCAAAAGTTGATCCTAACCCAACACGGTCGAAATGAAAACAAAAATGAATGCATTTTGGAAAATGAAAGAGAATCAAAAATAGGAATAAGCTGGAATAAACTTGCAGTGAGTCCACACGCTCACAGAAAACGAAACAGGCTTCAGGAATTTCCAACGAGCTCAATCATTTCTGTTGCCGGTGCTGAAATCCTAGCAAGAGAATGTGTTAGCCAGGATTTGAGGCAATTATCCGTCCGGGATCTCGTTTTCACCAATGGTGCTGCAAATATATTCACTGCCTACCTATGGTCGAAGCCCTGGTGACTGGTTGATATAAACGATTCTAATTTTCGAATTCATTCCAGCATTGCACAAATGGGAATTCGGACAATCCAACAACTGTAGGCCCGGAGCCGCAGCCTATCACGGGCAATTTAATTTGAATTTAAGTTGGATTTTAATCTCGTTTGGTGAGCGTTATGAATCATAAATCCCGATGCAACGCCACCGATTGGCTAGTGGATTTAATTTGATGCATTCATTTTGAACCAATCAAAAATTGTTACAATTTGACTTACCTTCGTTATCGATGGCGAATATCCCTAGACCGTCACCACCTTTGATAGAATAGCTCACTCTGGAATCGGGGCCAGGCGGGTCGTGGTCCTTGGCAATCACCTGCATCACATGCGCCCCCGGAGGCTTGTTCTCCGTAATCGTACCCGTTAGGACAAAGTCTTCGAACTGAGGAGCGTACCGGTTTTCGTTTACATCTATTATTTCCACTATCACTGACGTTTCCGACGAAAGAGACGGTGTGCCCCGGTCAATCGCTTTCACTACCAAACTATGAATCTGTCGTTCTTCAAAGTCCAGCAGCTTCGCCGTTCGAATCGTACCGGAGAGTTTATCGATTTTGAAAGAACCTTCTCCATCTCCGTTTTCACCGAAACTGTACATGATTTCACTACTCGGACCGCTATCCAGATCGATAGCGGACACCACCATCACGACGGTTCCCTTCGGAACATCCTCACGAATACGAACATTCAGATCTTGAACACTAAACTCCGGAACGTTATCATTGATATCGTCTACCGTAACCCGCACCAATGCTTCGGAATACAGAGCGGGTGTGTTCTGATTACCTCCACCATCCGTTGCTCGAATTCGCAGTTCATATAATTCCTGACGTTCTCGATCCAGTGGAGCCACAACTGAAAGGACTCCCGTTTCGGGATCAACCAGAAAGTCCCGAGTATCTGTGATCATACTGTATGTGACCTTCGCGTTAACACCCAAATCGGCATCCGTGGCGTTCACTCGGAAGATAATCGTTCCGTTCAGTGCGTTTTCAGTCACCCGAAAACTTGCAAGGGATTTCTCAAATTTCGGAAAATTGTCGTTCTCATCCAGCACGGTTATGGGAAGCACTTTTGACACGGATTTTTGAGGTTTACCCAAGTCGTACACTGTTATGTTCAGTAAGTATTCATCACGACGTTCCCGGTCAAGGTACCCTATGATCTTGAGCTCTCCGTTATCCGGATCCAATCGGAAGACTGAGTCATCATCTCCTCCGGATATGCCAAACACTAGCTTTCCATTGTAGCCAAGATCTCGATCTCTTGCCTTGATCCAGGTAATAGTCGTTCCCAGCGGTATCGATTCGTTAACCTTCACTTCCAACGGAAGATCTATAAACTCTGGTGCGTGAACGTTCTCCCCGTATCTGCTTGGCATCATGGCAAAGTCATCACCATTGCTCACGTCTTTCCCGGGCATGTTATTTCTTTCCGCAGATGCTTGGATATCGACACGCCTTTGCCGAACTCCTGTCTCCCGGCACTCGAATGAAGCACCATCCTCGGCTTTCAAATTTCCACCCAAATTTCGCTTGTTCCGCGCAAGACTTATCTGAATCCTCACGGTATCCGAATAGTGCGTACCATCCGTTGCCGTTACATTCACTTCTCGGAATTCAACACCAATATCGTTCAAATCACAACCGATCGTAATGACACCAGTTCCCAAATCAAGATTAAAACAACCGTCCTCGTTACCGCCAACCATTCGGTACGTAATTACAGTGCCATTGTCAAAATCCAGTGCCGAAAGGTTGAAAATCTCCGTACCGATCGGGGTGTACCTCGGTATCCGTCCAACACAGTCGATCCGTTCGAACTGTGGTCGATTGTCATTAACGTCACGCAGCTTGATGACCAGCTGCATTTCGGTTTGTCGTCGATAGGGAAGGCCCCAATCTGAAGCCCGCACTCGCAGAACATACTCCCGCCGCATGCTTTCGAAGTCCAACAGCTTGGACGTTCTCACAACTCCAGAGAAATGATCGATGTCGAACGGGACATCGTTTAAGTTCGCTATACTGTACGATATGTATGCATTCTCGCCAAGATCCTTATCCCGGGCTGTCACCTTCGTAACCGTCGTCCCAGCTGGCTCGTTTTCGTCTACCCATATTGTCATGTTATTCGTTTCAAAGATTGGATCATTATCATTGGTATCTTGTACGTTGATTTTCACCTTCGCCGAGGACTGTTTCCTCGTCCCTGTATTCCCTTGATCGATCGCCGAAACAGTCAGAGTGTAGAAAGCTTTCTGCTCGGCATCCAAGGGAACTGCTGTGTACAACATACCGGTCTCCGGATTCACCCGAAACTCACCACCCTCGTTGCCTCCCACAATCTCCAGAAATACTTGAGCATTTTTGCCCTCGTCTCTATCGGTTACTTTCAGTCTTATAACAGGAGTGTTGGGAGGTGACGTTTCCGGTACAGACACTTCGTAGATTTCCCGATTGAACACCGGTGCATTGTCGTTTATGTCGGCCAAATGAACTGGAATCACTTTGTAACTTTGCCTCGAAGGAATCCCTCGGTCCATTGCCCTGAGCGTTAAATTATAACCTGCCGGGGCCGTTTCACGGTCCAGCAGCCGATGCACCTCGATGACGTATTCACCCGGCCGTGCGGTAGGTTTGATGCGAAAATGTCCATCCGGATCACCGTCCACGATATCGAGACTTTTGATCTGTCCGTGGATGCCCTTGTCCTTGTCCTCCACCCGGACAATACCGAATATGTTTGTATTGGAATTCTCCAGAATGTCCGGCAACGCTTGCACATAGATGTCCGGTGCAAACAGATTGACCTGCAAAAAAGAGCAAAACGAGAAAAAAATTAAATGGCTTCGTAAATCATACAGCCCAGTGCTATAAAAGAGCCATGTGTCATCTGTGCCTAGATTTCTATGCATTCGGAATGTATGAAAAATGAAAAATTCAAATATGCACTATTCCCTCGCCCAGCAGCATCAACCCCGGGCAGAAAGGCCTACCAGCGAGCAAAAACGTACCATTTGAATGAATTTTATTCGACGTCATTCTTTCCAGCGAAAGAGAGCTGAAAATTGTGCTGTCGTAGCTCTTCCCAGCTGCATCTCTAAAAATTGCAATCCGGGGCACAATTTCCCACATTTGCAGTAAAATAGTAGCATCGGTTAGAATAGAATGGACCACCAACCCAGCACACAAAAATAGGTACCTACCAAGAGGGAAGCCGGGTGCATCCTATTTGAGAGCAACCGACCAACTAGCCCGTTGTTGTTATTGAAGGGCTACCGCAAAATGCACCATGCATTCTGGTTCTGGCTACCTAAATATGTAAAATTGTGCACTGTTTTGCTCACCGATGCAGAAGTATTTGCCATATTGCTATGCGGGCTGGACACCCATGTATGTGTGTATGTGTGTGTGCACGCGTCTGAAAAGGATTGTCCACCTAGCGGAAATACGGGATGGCATTGTGATGTGTTACTGAGTTACAGATGTAGATGATAAAAGGGTGCAATTTGTTTGAAAAAGACGCAGAAATGATGAACTATGCTGGCTTCTCAACTATTTTGGTTGCATTAGAATGCATCGGTCCGACACAGCCGTTGCTATGATTTGGTTGTCGTTTCAAGATGACGTGAAGAGCAGGGGAGCTAAATTTTGAATCTTGTCATCATGTTGAAGACATTTAATTTTGGCAGATATTTTGCAGACATTTCATTATTTGTGAAGATATTTTACGACACGTAAATCACATGCAAATTGATATACATTTGAGAGCATACTCGCGTACATTTTTAAAAGGCTTCTTCCAAGATGATTCAAACATAGAAAGTCTATCGAGGTCACAGAAAAAAGAAAAAAAATTCTGAGACTTTGAAGTTATTTTTATTTAATAACTCATGCTTCAAAAAGCTCTCTTGATTCTGGATTTAGAAAAGTCATCTAGTTTTTTTCTTTCTTTGATTTGTTTGCTGTCGATCTTAATTTCCGTACTGAGTACCAATGCTACCAACGCCAGGGAGGCAGCTCCCATACCTGGACCCTATCTATCGACCCATAAACTCATAAACCGGGGACCAACGGCTTTACTTCCCTTCCGAAGGAAGGCGTGATAAGAGATCTTATGCCTCAGAAAATCCCGGTGGCGCTGACTGGGATTAAACCCAGGCCTTTTGGGTGAGAGGTAATCACGCTTAACACTACACCACCGGCGCCGCTTGTAAAGTCATCTAGATAAGGAGAGTTTTTATTTCGATTTCAATTATTATTGCGGATATTGAAAAAAATATCGACGATTCTAGAACAGCGTTTCTCAATGTGACCCACCGGAGGGTCACGGACTCCTCTCAGGTGGGTCCTAAAAATTCAGACAACTTGGTCATAGGTTGATTAAATTGCATGCAGAATTTGTAACTTAAGTGTTTTTGAGATTATTTTGAAGGTGTTGAGGACGTTTTAAAACGCCATATATGCGTTCTGAGGCCTTTCCGCAATTTAAAGCCATTTTTTTGGTTTGTATGGTCATTCCGGCGTTGAAAGTAGGTCTCGAGTCGTTTTTTACAACGTAATGAGGTGATTATTTAATTAGCAGCATCTTTCTTGGCTGTTTTGGCGTGTCAATCCGTTGAAATGCAATGACTTTTTTGGCGTTTTAAATCCATTAAGGAACTTTGAACAAAATGTTGGCCTTAGATGGGTCACAAGCCTGTAAAATTCCTAAAAGTAGGTCATTGAGATTATTCAATTGCTTTGACTCAATGGAGACGCATTGTACTTGATTGATTGATTGATTGATTTATCTTTATTTAGGAGGCTTACAGCCTGAGGCTGGTTCGCCTCCAAGAGATTGTACTTAAAATGCCAAGGGATGGTCACTCTACACACTTATATTCCACCAAATTTTTTCTCAGTGTGCCTCAGTGTGCCGCAGCTGACTTTTGTTTGCTTGTGAATATGCCTTGTTTGAAGCTTTTGTAGGCTACATCTTTTATTAATAACTCAAATCAGTATCTCTTATGCATGATGAATCAGAGCGATAAGAACCCACCATTGTTTTTCAGTGAATGTAAATTGCCTTCACTGAAAAACAATAACATGTTCTGCCAGCTCTAGTTCGTCATGCATAAGAGATTCAGATTTTAGTTAATATTAAAAGCTGCAAAAGCTTCATACATCATTTTACGGTATTCTGTTGATGAAAAAAGTTAGAGGCAAATGAATGTAAATGATGTACGAAATGAATGTAAATGATTTTCCATCCCTGGCCGCAGCTGTACCGACAGTGTCGAGTAGTAATTGAACTGACTGTTGTTTGCTTGTGAATAATGCCTTGTTTGGCAACCCGGTATTTTAACAGCTCTTGTTACAGTTGGGAATACACATTGGAAGCAGCCGTCTGCAAGGATGCGTGCAATGGACGAGCCCCGTTGCTTTACGATCCTACTATCTTCGGCGAAAAACCGAACTCGTACAACGACCGTCAATCTTTAGTCAATCGGCGGAGGAAACGGAATTACAACGAATTTTTCACCGCCCGAGTTTCATCCGTCGGAAAACTGGAAACCAATACCGGCCGGAACACACGTCGCACTGATGAAGGACGCACCGCTGACCCGAAACGGACCAGCTAACTTCATTCAACCGGCACAGAAACAGGGCGCAGTGATGATGATCTACGGACTGGATAACAACACAGCCAACACCGATAAGCTATTCAACCTGTTCTGCCTGTATGGAAATGTTGTCAGGATAAAGTTCCTGAAGAGCAAGGAGTACGAGGTTACCGCCATGGTCCAGATGGGAGACGCCATCGCAGTCGAACCTGTCAAACCAATCGAACGCATCATCCAGCACTTGAACAACATTCCAATCGGAAATTATGGTAGCAAAATTCAGATTGCATTTTCCAAACAGAACAAACAAGGATTACAGCGCCTCCAAGAACAATCGCTTCCCTCGTTGATCCAGGCCAGCAAAAATCGCATTCTACCACCGAGCAAGATTCTCCGCTTTTTCAATACCCCACCCGTTATATCCGAGGATCTGCTGCTGACTACATTCGCCACCAAGGACTGCCACCCGTTACAAGTGCGAATGTTCCCGCTGAAATCGGAACGTTCCTCCTTCGGATTGGTCGAGTTCCCGAGCGTAGCCCTGATGGTGAACGCCATCATGAAGTGCAACCACAGCGCGATCGATCACAAAGGCACACAATTCCCGTTCATTATGAAGCTGTGTTTCTCCTCGTCCAAGACGATGAACGGTGCGTGGAGCAACGAGAACATCGAAAACATGGGCATGGGCATGGTACCAGCACCTGGCAACCGAATGTCGGCAGCAATATCAAAGCTAAATTTAAGGCACAGTCCAACGTCCGTCAAGACATAACCTAAATAGTGTATTGCTAGAGCCACGGCTACACAAATTTTTCGATGTAGCTCCCACGGCTGTGGCTGCTTCCAATGCTACTGCTACTTTGGTTGCTGCTGCTGGTCCGTCTCCTCTGAAAATCGTCAAAATAATGTTGTAGGCGACGGACCAGCAGCAGTATTAGAAGCAGCCGCAGCCGTGGGAGCTGCATCGCTAGTTCGTGTAGCCGTGGCCGAAAACCTCGGTCCGGTCACGATACCGCTGTAAGCTGTTCTTTGTCTGGAAGGAAATGTGCCGTCACCGGTGGAGCGATTTTGATAACGGAGTGTTGCTATGCAAGCGATTACCCTGATTTCTTCATGCTGGGTGGTCGGAATGATTGTACGAAGTCCGGCGCGAAATGATGTACCTAGTTCTTCGGACAGGCATCAGGATGTGCGCTGACAATAAGATCTACAAGTGACGACATCAATAACAAATGTTAATACATCCACGCTTTGCAGGCGCAGAAAAAGTTCAGTGCTGCCAGTAACTTTAAAGATCAGAAAAATTGTAATACAGTGCCAATGATTGTGCCCAAGATTGTTGTTGGCACACTGTGCAGAGTGACCAACCCCTTGTTAAATGTATAAACATTAGATCCCGATGTGTCATGATGTTTAAAAAAATTATATCTCAAAAACGAAAAAAAAATATTTATAGTATGCTTTTCAATAAAAACATACAAAAGAGGTCTCTTTCATCACAACACTGTAAAAAAATAACTTCATGTTTTGGTACAATTAAAATTGTTTTACCATCCCTTTCGTAAAGCGTAAATAGCGCAATTTAATACCCTCAGTTTGCTGTATAAAGATCAAAAATCTCACGAAGGTGCACCCTAATGGCGAAATAAAGAAATACGGTGTTTGTGCATCGTCGATTATTTATTCCACTACCCTACCCACTGTACGATTCTAGAAAACAATAAACAATACAATAAAACAGTGTCTTGTATGCCTCCGCCATGGCAGGACGGCGAAGCAATCGGTGCGTTAGTTCTATCCGTCTTCGTAATTATCACTAAAATCAACACCATGTAGGGATTCCGCCCGTGTGCGATCATACGGGTATAATATTTTTTATTAATGAACAAATGCACAACGTTTGAGTGAAACAATTTTCCGATAGGTCTGTTTTACGTGGAATTGTTGTAAATATAAACAAAACAATGCTGGGATTGGGAGGGACCATTAAGGCACCCGATTGAAGCAATTTGGACGGGGAGAGTAGGAATTCTAACTCCCTTTTGATAACATTTCGTCCTGCTTGAGGCAAGGTTGCAAAGACTCATTTCAGCTAAAACAATGTTTTTCTAAATTATGAAATAATTAGATGCCATGATCAAATTTTGAATAGGTAGGATACAAGAAGAGGTTGCAAAGAATGTGTTTGACATATTAAACCT